GAAAATGTCATCTGCAAAAAACACATTTCTAGCCTCCTAATTCCTAAAGTTCCAGAAATTGCTGAGAAAGCCTGTGACACATGGGTTGTGAGGCACCCAGCAGTTGTGTGATAGGAACTTTTTAAAGGGTATAGGTGACCCACTTCTCTTGGTCTTATTTTTCAGTGCTTGCAAATCTCAAGGAGGTACATTTCAGTCACTGTCCTTAAAGCTCTCCTGAGCATGGTGAAAATGTTCTGTACTAAAGGATGGGGATAGAGACAGTGACAACTGCAAATACAAATCACACCTGGAGAATTACAGGGTAATACAGACTAGAAGTTTCCAGTTTCTCAATCTCCACTTTAAATGTCTAATGGAGTCATGTAAAGTGAAACTGGTAACTCCTATAAAAGTGCAAGACTTCAGTGTTATCAATTTGTTACATTTAATTTAGAACATTAAAAACAAAATAAAAATAATTTTAAGGACACTTTCCTTCCTTATGACATTCCACCCTTAAACACACCAAAGAAATTGGGCTCTGTAAGCCAACTCCCAGGGACTGTGTGTCTCAAAATGAAGATTAAGGCAATGATACAAGAGAGCTTCTCACCAATTCTCCCTGCCTTTATTCTCTGGAACCTCCATAGATCCACTGGTTTTATTGGAAGCTTTGTGTGGTTTCTGGCAAAGAAAGATACAATTAGTGACAACAATAACTACTGTTTAAAAAGCTGTTCCCAAATATCTCCTCTCACTGATTACTGTCAATCTTCTTCTTTTATACTGGTTTGATTTTTTATTTCCCAAAGAACATTCATTTGGTTTGAATCTTCCCCCAGACTTTGCAAGATGTCAGCTCTGGTTTTTTGGGTGTGTTCTGATTGCTTACTGTTCCTTTAAGGTTTTATCATATTCACCATGAACTGCAGTCTCTTCTTCACTGGCTTCTTCATTATTTTGAAGTTTTCTTTATAAAGTGGGGATAAAAACTCTATCAAAAGCAAAATAAAAGGGCCAGGCCTACGTGGTTGAAAATATGCAAATACAAGTAGAATCCCAGTCTGGACTCCTTTTTAGTTTCTGCAGATTGAAGGGACATTAAAAGCAGCAGAGGGTGGGAAGGGTAACGTTTCATTTGCCACCTCCTGCTCCTCAGTGGAAGGCTGCACGTCAAATGATGGCAGGGCAGGGTGGAAAATTTCCCTATGTGAACATCTGAGGGCAGAAATGAAAGTTAAGGAGAGTGCTAAATTTACAGTGCCGTGCCAGTAAACCCACCCCTTCCTGTCTGCTCGGGATCAGCTCGGCCAAACTCAGACGTGCAGAAACAACAGAATTCCCTCATCAGTCACCCTTTCCAAAATTCCAGTGTGTGCATATCACAACCAGGGGCGAGGAAGTGAGGCAGGGACGAAGGCAGGAGACAGTCAATAGCCAGATTTTGTGTGCCTGGCTGCACGTTGGCTCAAGCAGAAGTGCTGCTGACACCTCCTGACTCACCCCTGGGATCCTCAGCCACGGCTGCAGCAGCAAAGGCATCCTTCAGGAAAAGCATGGCCTGAGGAGGGAACTCCAATTTCAGTGACAGAGCACTGGCTGAGGGCAATTTCTAACCAAGGACAGGTAACAGAAGAGATCTGAATACTGGTTCTCAAAAACCCACAAATTTATGGACTGACATGAAGAACAGAATATTGAAGCATAAAAGTAACTTCAGTTCCAAACATTTAAAACTTCAGTGTGAAAAACACAGAGCACTGCTGAAACAATTCCAGCAAAACTCCCAGGCTTGTCTTTACTGCTGCCCTCGGAGTCTCTGCTGCTGCCCTGCGAGTTTCTCACTTGTTTGCTGCACACTCAGATGTCACCCTTGGGCCAGCACACCTCAGTCTGTCCAACTCCACTGCATGTTGACCTGCCTTCCATGTTTCCTGGACAGAGACAGGGGCCTTCTCAGGCAATTTTATGGCTCTGCTTTATCTTTATGAGTCTTTTTACTACTTAAATTGTTTTTAAGGACTCCTTGCTAAGCACTGCAGTTAGGCCAGTCTTGCCCAGGCCTGCATGGCTTTCAGTGTCTGTGTGAATTACATCACATTTCCAAACCTTCTGTGAGAGTGAAATTTCCTTCCTCTGCCCTTCCCATAAGGGAAACAGTGCCAGAGGGTGGGAGTATGAGCTTACAGCTCCTTTTCTAGCAACTATCTCTCTTCCCCAACCAAAAAAGACAATTCCTGTGGCACATTCTTCAGCATCTTCAGAGTATTTTTAATCAGTTTTCATTGATTTTGAGCTGCAAGTCCAGCTCAATACTTGCACACTGAAATACAGACATGGAAATACAGACATGGAAATACAGACATGGAAACACAGACAGCACTAATACACTGAAATACAGACCATTTCCCTGGTCAGTGCCTGTTGAGCATCACAGAACACAACTTTCTGCTACTCCGCTGCCACTTCCAATTCACGGACTGAACACTTGGACTAATTTAGGACATTTTGTCTCCCATCAAAAATCTAAATAAAGATGTCAGTATGAACATATCCTCTCACTGCATCTCCTATTTTTTTTGAATTTGTTTGTTGGTCATCCAATGATTGTGTACCTGGAGGAACACCCATCCCACACTGTCAGTGAGCAGGGGATGGGCAGCCTTTAACATCCAGCTCTCTCCAGGCAGTGCTGCCAGAGTGGTGCTTCCCTGTGTCCCTGCTGCTGTGGCTCCTGTCACATACACAGGATGTGCTTGGGAAATATGGTCCCACAAACTCTGACTAATCCTCCATCACTGAACAGAACAACTGTTTCTTCATCTGGAACTGCCTAGCAAGCAAACCCAACGTGCAGGTGAACCTGAGGCAGCTGCTGGAACAGGGTACCCTGAATAGTGCTGGGATTTGTGGAACATTCCTCAAACATAACTCCAGTAACTGAAACGAAGCCCTTAAAAAACTGACCTCATGCAGAGGTTTATAGGAGAGTGAAGGTTGGAAGGGATTCCCAGCATTTCATCCAGTCCAACCTCCTGCCCAAAGCAGGGTCAGCTGTGAGGTGAGGCCTTGATCCAGATTGCTCCTGAGGACTTCCAAGGAAGGAGACTGCACAACAATGTGTTGTTACTCTACTGCTAGGCTGTCTTCATGGGGATAAAGTTTCTCCTTATACCCAGCCTGGACTTCTCATTTCAACTTCTGCCCACTGCTCCTCATCTTCCCACCAGGCACCACCACAGAGAGCCTGGCTCCATCTCCTCAGTGACCTCCTGAAAGCCACTGGAAGGCTGCAAGAGTCTTCTGCAGGCTGAACAAGCCCTGTTCCTTCAGCCTCTCCTCATGAGTGGCCCTCCACTGAGCTCACTCTTCGTGCTCTGGAGATCCAGACTGGACACAACAGTCCACCAGTAAAAGATGCAGATACTCCAACTGTGCTGCTTTTCCTTCCTCACTCCCTTTCCATCAGAATTCCAGGCTAGGGACACACTGTTTAGCTTGGTTTTCATTCAGTGAGCAAACACTGCTGACTGAGACAACTCTTGACTGCACTGACAGAGAGGATGGGCTCTGAAGGACATCACTTGGGAGTTTGAAAAGTCACTCATTAAAAATACAAAAAGGAGATGTGGAGGAATGTGTGTTGACACAGAGCAAAGTCAAATTCTAGACCATGATGGGTGGCTTCATGGAGTGGGTTAAATCACAGGGGTTAATTATAATAAACAGTCCTAGTACACACATCAAAGAATCATTACAGATTAATTAGCAGGTGCTATTATTAGCCATAACAATTTTTGTCTCCATTTCCAAAAGGATAAGATGCAAAATAATTACTTCATGCAGTCTAAATGCTTCATCCAGCTCTTGCAGTGAGGTGTATTTGGACCACAGCCACCAAAGCCAGAGGAGCTGGTGCAGACTGTGTACTCCACTTAAGGGACAAAAATAGTAAGTTTTTTGGTCAAAAGCATGTTCTTGCCTAACCTTGATTTTATGATGATTAGTTCTGACTTAGTCACCTGAAACCTGGCAGAAGGGAACATAAAGGGGAATTTTCTGTGTCTTTACAACACCGTCCACCAGGTTCCAGCAGTTCAAGAGCTCTCTGACCAGCCAAGCTAAAAATCATGACATCATTTCCTTCTTTCTTCTCACGTACCAGCTTTGAAGACTTAATTGCAATCTGAGAATCCTCTGAAAGAACACACTGTTCCTCTTCCCAGTGGGGTTTTGGGGATCAATAGTTCCTGTACTTCCATGAAGTGTCTAAATCCTCATCCAACATAACATCTCTGATTCCAACTTCCTCCCATGTTTTTGCTTTTGAAATCCCATTTCTTTTCAATGGAAGCGCAAAGCTGCATGTGAGAAAGACAGGTGACTGGCACCCTGAAATGACTTCACACTGAGAAGAGATAAATCCTCACAGGTAATGTCTTGGTTTGGTAGGATGACATTGCAGAGAAGGTGGCTTCTCAAGTACCTGCTCACAGTGTCTGACAGCTTTGGATAAGAGTGCAAGAAATGATAGTTTGTGCATGGGTTTGGTAAGGTTTTGTAATAAGGTCCTACCCAGTCAGGTGATCATTTTGCAAGACACACAGCATCCAATCTCTGATTAACCAGCAGAAGTCAGTGCACGTGGAGAAGGAAGGACCCAGGTCAGTGGTAAATGAGAGCAGTATAAACCACTGATCTGCAAACCATCAACGCATCTTTAAATAGACTGCAGGTTTTAATAATGATAAAGTTGAAAACAAGCAAAAAGGAAGGTGGTTATTCAGCACTGAAGGCAGCAGCAGGACCCTTAATACTTATTTTTCCAAAAGGACACATGAGCAGGGGAAAAGAAAGCAACTAATTAACGGACAAAGAAACTTCAGAATTCTTTCTGCCTTCCCTTCATGTAGCAGTTGTAACAAGCAGTGATGCCTCTGGGCCCAGACTCCAAGCTGCCTTGCTGAGGATGTGCTGCCCTTCAGCATCAGACCCACCTCTTGAACTTGTCCATCCAGGCTGCTGCAGATGCTGTTTTGTAAAACTGCATAAACAAAACTGTTTCAATTTTCATTCTGGTAACCATGGCTAATTACAGACCATTTCTCTGAGTGTTCAGAGCAATGAAAAGTGGTGTAAGATGGTGAATGCTACTGAAGTACAGGGGATTCCTTCCCTCTGATTCCAGTGGCTTTGGCTCAGAACCCTTGAACAGCACGGGAAGGAAACATCCTGGTAAGCAACTGCCTAGACTGCCTTTGTTATTACAGGCCAAGACAGAATTTGATAGAGCACAAAGGCAAGATTTGTGTCTCCCAGACAGTCCCTGTGAATTCCAGAGCTTCGTTAAGAGTGTTACAGAGTTCTACAGAGCAAAGCTACAGAATTATGAGCTGTGATTTCTTCCTGATACTTACAAAACTGAAAACACTTCCTAAATAGTAAATAAATAAGTCCCTCCCCATATAATGTAACAAAGTGAGCTGATTACAGGTTCAGTACTGTACCCAAGCTGTTCCTTTCAAAGCCTCTTTATTAGATCAAAGGGTTTATGGTTCTGTTCCTCTCTCAACCAGACATGGATTGCATTCAAATTACCTTTTATGCTAAACACCACTCATATTGTGGACATTTTTTGTATAATTACCTCAGCTATAAAACCTGCACCTTTGCTCATGAGAGCAATGAAGTTGGAGTGCAGGGATTGGCTCTTCATCTCAAGTTTCATTATACACACTGGATGCTTTCACTGCGTTGAAACAATTAGAAACTCCCAGACTTGGCACAGTGTGACATCCCACAGCCTCTGTTCCCTCAGCTGGGAGCAGGGTTTGGGGAGCTCTGTATTTTTAAACCATGCTTCTGAAATAGTTGCAAAATGATCATCCCCGTGCCGGTCCCTCCTAACTCAGAGCCACCCTGGTGGGGAACACCCAGTTCCCTGGTCCCTGCCAGCCAGTCCAAGCTGCCAGAGAGGGGCTCTGTGCATGGAAATCATCCAGCTAAAGGACAGAGTGGACACAACCCTGGGAGTGGGAGCCAAGGGGCAGGGGAGGGAATGGGGGCTCAGAGCTCTCGTGGGTTCTTCAGCAGTGCCCAGGGCTGAGCTCCCTGCCAGCTGCTGGGTTCTCTTGCCTTGCTCACGACAGCCCAACTGTTCATTGCAGCTCCAAGGCTGCACCACCCAGACAGGGAACCCCCAAACACCCAGGGGAGCACATGACAGAGCAGAGCAGAACTGACCTGATGTTCCTCAGGTTAAACGGCCACACAGTGAAATGGGTGAGATTATCACCAAGTATAATGTTGAAGGTCTCCCAAGTGAAGCACCTAAAAAGCAATCTGAGAATTACTTTTGAAACTCTTGGCCATAAAGCTCCGATGTACTCTGTGAGATACTTCCGGCCAAGAGGACAAACTTCACAGAGCTCTTGGGGGAGAGAAAGCTCCAAGGTTCAACTGCATTCTGTACTGTAAACTGTGATTAAACACACCATGTCTGTGACCTCTAAAAATGGAGAGAAAAACACAAAATAAAAGAGAAAGTAGCCCTTGCAGTTGCACAATTGTGGAAAACAAAATATTCTGTTTCTCCTTGTTCCACATCATCTGAGACATATCTGACTTTCTGTAGATGAAATGACTGCTAAGAAATTGAAAGAAGGCTGGAAAAATCCCAGATCTTGTGTGATTTGACCTAATGCAGAACATGAGTCAACCTCAGCAGCTGCAAGAATGTGTCAATTCTGTATCTTTTAAAATCCACTCTGTAGAACGGCAGGAAATATTAATCAAAACGCCAGCGCTTTTTAACTTCTCTTAAGAAGGATACCAGAGACCATGAAAAAAACAAGCTGTAATAACAAAAAGACATAAAGTGCAGTGGTTTTTAAACAGATGAAGCTGAACTCTGGCAGAAGGAAGACTACAGGTAATAAGGCCATTCAGCCTGAAGTTGTCCAGTTGAAGCTGAAAAAAAATATTTTATATGGGGCAGTGATACAGCCTCAAGCTGTGCCAGGGGAGGTTCAGGTGGGACATCAGGAGGAATTTCTTCATGGAAACGGTGGTCAGGCATTGGAAGGGAGGTGGTGGAGTCCCCATCCCAGGAGGTGTCCCAGGAATGACTGGACATGGCACTCAGTGCTCTGGGCTGGGGGACAAGGTTGGACTTGATGATCTTGGAGGTCTTTTCCAACCCCAGTGATTCTGTGATTCTGTGAAATACCCAAACCCAGCTGGCTCGGAAGTTACCAACTAAAAAAACCAAAAATCAAGTTAATCCTTCTCAAAATGGATCCATGCAGAACACGAAGGCAGGTTCTTCTGGGGGAAAAGGCACCCAGGTTGATAGTTACAGAATAGGTAAGTTCACTTCTTGGGCCTCCCAGCTCACAGACAAGGACAGCAAACAGCAGCCTCAGAACTGTCCTCTTAGACCCAGTGAAGTGAGCAATGCCAGGGGCCTCTCCCTCAGCAACAAATACAAACATTGTTAAGCTCGTAGCTGCAAGTGACAGATGCCTCCCTCTGCTTCTAAACTTTTAAAAACTATTTTAAATATCAAACACAATTATGAGGAAAATACTCTTCAAAGAGCAGGGTTTTTTTAGAAGTTAATGTGTCTGCCCTGCTTAATCACAAGCTGAAAGGAGAACTTGATGATTATTGTATACTTCAGTTAACACTATTTCATAAAATCTGGCTTGACAGAATTATAAGATAAATTAATCAAATAATACAAAAGTTGAAAGATATGCCAGCTGGCTCGAGCTCCAGCAGAAATCCATCAGCTCTGAGCAGCAGGGAGGGCTGCAGGAAAGGCTCTGACCCAGTGGGCACTGTGGGTCCTGTCCAGCCATTTCTGGGTGTCAGTGACTTCAGGACACTGCTCTGACCAAGGGACTGCTCACCCCAAACACACCTCTGCTCTTTGGGGTGACACTGAGGGACACAATGTAGAGGAGCATAAAGCTCTAAAGATTCCTTCTTACAGTTTAAGGTCAAGGGCTCTCACAATGAATAAATATTATGACACTGAATGTTTAAGACTCACAGATGTTGTGCTGCCTGTTCAGTTTGCAGCTTATCAGAGCTTTATATGAAGGCACAATTTATAATGCCAAGTTAATAGCTATTACGAATAAGAAACTGTTTCCTTTAAAAAAGATCAGAGTGAATATTATTTGTTTCTCCCAGAAATAGTGTGTATTCCTGTTCTGTACAGTATCACAGTAAAGATCACTTCCTTATGACATTTGACAATGAGCCAACACCATGGATGAGAGGTTTTTGTTTAGCATCAAATCCTGAAGCTCAAGTGTCTCTAAACAAAAAGCCTGTGACATAACGAACCAAGTGAGAAAGAGCTTACAAAGTGCTAAAGAACGATTTAAAGAACATACAATTACTGACAAATGGTGCTAAGCAAGGCCTGGCCTGGGTTGGAAGAATTCTATTCAGTACCCACAGAGCTCAAATGACTTTGGGTGGTGAGAGTGAATTGAAATCAGTAACACTGCTGACAGAAGAATGTGAGCAGAGGTACATGTGTCTCCAGCCACGTGAAGAGCACAATGCTATCCTGTATTTTACATTAATCACACACTCACACAATCTTTTCCATACCAAAACCTGAAATGAATAAATAAATAAAAAAAATTAAAAAAAGGGATAAAATTTCACTAGACAGAAAGTTCCTACGTGAGGCTCCAATGCTGGTAATGACCAAAGTAGTCTTTACCATCTGTCTGAGAGCTTAAGAGCAGGAACCTAAACACTAAACAAAACCCATTGACCAACCCACTGCCACTGCTCCATTTTAGGCACGTTACTTCCATGTTTGTAATGTACAGATTATTTCCACATAATTTCAGCTGTAGGTTCCCAGGGTCATGTATAGACAGAACAGAAGGTGTAGCACCAGCGTTGGTTCTGGCCTTAGACTGGATGTTGATAAGTCTGTAACATGATCTAGATGATTTGTTTCTCCAAACTGCAAGAATGCAAAGCATGATCTCACCCTGTTAAACATAAGTCTCCCAACTGTCTTTCCTTGTTCTAATGTTTGTCTTGTATAACAAGCCTCCTGTGAAACTCTCTCTATCTCCTTAACCAAGAGTTGCCTGTACACAACCTTTGAAGAGTTAAGTCCACTCAACTCTGAATTGTAGAGTACTTAGGAGAAGTTATTGACTCAAGATCTTACTGTAACCAGCTGTAGAAGTGTTGTCAGCAGAATGTAGTTATTACATTTGTGTAAACACAAAGCAAACCCCGGGCTAGGTGGGGGCACGGGATCCTATTCCACACTGAAACTGCTGCTGGCATCACTCACTGCAGGAGCAGCCACCAGAGAGGCCACAAAAACGGGGCTTGGACACAACCTTCTGATGGGCCCTTAATCATTCAGCTACTGCAATCACCTATCAACAGCCATCACTTACCAGAACTGCAGCAGAAATGGGTTCCTCATTTCAGTAAGAGAAACTAAAGCCTCTGAATGGGCTTGGCTCCTTTTACTGACATAATAATTTTGGTTGAAAGTATTGAAGCTCTGCCCAAATCTCCTCTCAGAGTTCAGGTTCTCATCTACATTTGGGTTTACATAACATCTTGGGACTCAACTTATGCTGCTGGAGAATGGAATTTGTATAATGTCTTGGAAACACAAAAGCCTCAGCTCTGCAGCTGAATGACTCTTCAGCCCAGTCATTACAGAGACATGTCTGAGACACTGGCATTACTTTCACTTTCAGGGAAGTAAACAGTTGTTTGCATCATTTCTCCTCAGCACCAAGAAAATTATTTGTATATTGAGTAAGTAAAGTTATCTTCACACTTTCGGTCTGTTAAAAGGTTACTATTTTTAAAACCAGATTATATTTGTATGAAAAAAACCCCAACAAAAATCCCTCAGACATATCCTCATGCCCTCCAGCTGAATCACTCCTATCAAAATATTTAGTCATGATGTCTCCTGCTCACCAACCATGTCCCTCCTCTGTGCCCTACCAAGAACTGAAAGCTCTACCACTTTCCAAAACCTCAAATTCCCAGATCCTGGTCCTCCCAAATCAGTTCCTCTCTCATACCTTTGGTCTGATGTTCTCAGCTGGCACCTCGGACATTTGGAGCTGCAGACATGTCCCGGTTGTATCTTCCAGCTCCTTGGTGCTTTCCCTCTTGAACTAGCCATAAATTAAATAACAGGCATGTAAGAGGGGTTTAAACACATGCAATTATCCTATTTTGTAACTGAACAAAATATTACGTCTCACACTACCAAAAGTCAGGCAATTAAAGCCATAGAGGGTTGCTGAGCACTCTACATTTAAAGTTCAGGAAACTGCCATGTTTCCATACACTGCTAATCCCACTAAGGCTGTAATTTTCACTGTTGCAGTGATACAAAGTTCAGTGCATCTCCAAGCTACAGAGCAAACACACAGCACAGACCTGGAGTGCAGCAGGGGTCACCTGTGTGCTGCTCTCCATCAGAGGCAGCACACCCAGACAGCTACTACCAAAAATGCTGGAGCTTTTTTATTAGTGTTCAGTATCACACTGGATACTCCTTGTTGGTCAAGTTTTCTGTGCCTTGCCAAGGTTGAAGCTTTCTGTGCTCTACCTTGCACCAAATTATTTTGGAAGTTTAAACCAAAATGACTGCACTTTCAAAAAATTTTACTTAAGAGGCTTTCCTCACATAGAGAAACACCTGCTCTGCTGAGAAACTCTATGACCTTCCTGCTTTACCTGAAATGAAGCAGAAGGCTGGCCCTGGCATCACACCTGAGTATGTTCTGATGCACTTGACAGAAAAGGATTTGAAGAGAAGAAATAAGTGGCGTAGAGAGACAAGATGAGAACAGGATTGAGGAATATGTAAAACAAGGACAATAAAAGTTAAGGGTGTATAAGGTGATGTGGGAGCAGAGCGAGGAACAATAGTGGTGATGGCAGAGGGAAGAGGACAGGAATTTTTGGAGAGGAGGGTTTAGTGCCAGCAGAGACAAAGGGGTTTTTTTGATACAATACAAATGTTCACTTACAGCCCCATTTCTGACATAGCGCTTCCCAAACTCTGCCAGGCTGCTGTGAGCCCGGATTTTATCCGTGTTTCTCTCCCGGCCGGAGGAAGAACCAGGGGAGGGTTTGCGCGGACACAACGCGCTGGGCGCGCCCGCACCGCCACCCGCAGGAGGAGCGCGGCACTGCGGGGACCGGCCGAGCTCCGACCGAGGGACCGACCGGGCTCTCACCCTGCAAAACCCACCCTGGCACGGAAAGAGGGCCTTCTGAAACGCACCTGGACTCCCATTTTGAAAGGACATTTATTTTGTGTTGCAAAGAGCCGTGCAGGCCTTGGAGCTGCAAAGCATCACACGGGCAGTGACTGCGCTGCCCCCAGCACGAACCCGAGCGAGCAGGGGCTGTTCCCGAGCGAGCAGGGGCTGTTCCCGA